TAAGCCCCATAAAAAAATTAATTGCAGAAGTGATCCCATAGTGTACTAATGCCAAATATGTTTTGTTTTAAGCAAGAATCAAAACTATGGGACCTGAGTTGCATTGAGGAACATTTTTCATTTATTCAATTGAAACAGACATAGTTTACAAAAAATGGAAGGGGCAGCATTTATTTGGAATGGCTGCATCTGAGATAGAGTCTAGCTTTTATTATGTGGGAGGTAATGATTCTTTTGAAGGAATACCAGCAATAATCAGTTATTTGCTTAAAGAGCCTGGGGGCAGTGCTAACATCCAGTAAGTGTAAATAATAACAATAAGAACTAGTATTCTGTTTAGCTCATAGGCTAAAAGAGCACTGGATAAGTGGCACCTCCAAACCAATATCCCATTATGGAAACTGTAATCAGTGTGATGTAAACATTGTAAGCACGTCATATAAAGGTGTCTTTGATTATCTGTATCCCCATTTCTTTCAAGTCTGTATCTAACAGTTTTCAGAGTAGTGGCTTTGGGTAGAGAAAGTACAGTCTTAAAAATCAATTTTAAAATAGTCTGAAGATGTTACACTTTGTAGTACCCTTCTAAAATTCTGATCTCATCAAGGGAACCCAAATGATGAATATTTGAACACATTCATAGCCTCAATTCTCCAGAAATGTTTTCATTGCAAATATCTAACCTTTCTACTTTCCTAATTTAGGAATTTTATGTGGATGAAAGTGTAAGCTGTCCATGACTACTCTCGTTTTTGTTCCCTGAATTTGAAATCCTTCCCAAGACGCATTTTTAAATAATCACTACTAGCATCTTAAGAGGACCTAAGTGGGCAACACCTCCTCAGGGCCAGTTACCTGGGAATTTCTAGGCTCTTCAATCAACAGAGGAAATTTCCTCTTGAGTGTAAATTCATTGATTTTCTGTACAAATTCTATTTTTAGTGGAAGATAGCCATACTTACAGGCAAAGTATTAGTCTTTCGTTAGCATCTGCCTTTCAAGCAGCAACCCCTTCTTTAATTTATGCTGGGTCATGCCATAGTATTTTGAATTCAAACATTGATCTTAAGTTTTAAAAAAATTAAAAGGAAAGGTGCTGAGTTTAACAAGGATTTTAAAATTTATTTAATTGCTCAAAGGGAGATGATTATTTCTCCATTTTTAGGTACTGCTGGTTATAATTTGAAGTAATTGCTAAGGAATTAGATGCTTCATAGCTACAACAATGTTGTAAAGATCAGCACAGACTTAAATAAATGACATGTTTTAAGGAGGACAAATTAAGAAAAATTTATGGAAGTAAAAAACAATGCAAATGTGTCTGGCAAACCAACTAACCCGCCAACAAAAAAACCTGCAGATTTTGGAGGACTCTAAGAGGTCATGACAGGACTTCATACATTGGAAATACAACAGTCTACACACTACAGTACTAACTGTGCTCAAGTCAGGTGACAGATTGTCTTATGTTCACATTAAAATCTTGCCTTAAACTAGAAAACCAATGGATTTAATAAGGGAAAGTCCAGCATAGACTTCAAGTGGACTGAAAGTGATAAATTATTTGAAGATACAAAATGGTACCTAGTATATTACCTACCCTCTATACTCTACAGGTCTAGCTAGGAAACAGCCACCCTCTGCCACGCTGTGAAGACTATTGCTACTACCACCACCACCACCACCACCAGTTTCTGTTGAGTCAGTTTGACTCATGGCAACCCCATGTATGTCAGAGTAGAACTATGTTCCATAGGGTTTACAAAGGCTAATTTTTTGAAAGTAGATTGCCAGGCCTATCTTCTGAGGCATGTCTGGGTGGACTCGAACCTCCTACCTTTGGGTAGCTGCTGAGTAGATTAACCACTTGCACCACCCAGAGACAACCCGTTGCCTTCGAGTCAATTCTGACTCATAGCAACCCTATAGGACAGAGTAGAACTGTCCCATAGGGTTTCCAAGGAGCAGCTGGTGGATTTGAACTGCCGACATTTTGGTTAGCAGCTGAGCTCTTAACCACTTCACCACCAGGGCCCCACCCAGAGACTAGAAGAGTATATTTAGGTAGGTCCTTAGGACAGAGTCCTTTGCTTTCACGGAAATGGTAGTGACATAACGGTGATTCCAACAAGGTGATAGACATATAATGCACGTCAGGGAGAATATGTGCATGTGTGTTTTAATAAATCTCAACTGAAAAAAAGCATGACTGTTTTAAGATCCTGGGCAGGGTAGGGCCAGTTTTAGTCAAGCGTCATATTTCTAACCAAGCAAAGGTGTAGCCTCCTCTCTGGGCAAATGAATTTCAAATCCACCCAGTAGTAGCTTCTGTTCATTGAACATTTATACCATGCCAGTCATTGCTAATCATTTTAAATACGTTATTTCATTTATTCCTTACTCTATGAGGGCAATACAAGGAATATTAGTGTATAAGAGCACATGCTTTGAAATCAATCAAACATGAGTTTGAATCCCAGCCCTACCACTTGCTAACTAAATAAGTTCAGACAAGATATAAACATTCCTGAATCTCAGCCTTCTCGTGTGTAAATTGGAGACAGAACAGATAACGCACATAAAGATGCCCAGCAGAATATGCAGGGCTTTTAAGCGCTCAACAATTTTTTGGCTCTTAGACATATCTTCAGTGTACAGATGAGAATAGAGACTTGGAGAAGCTACAAAGCTTGCCCAAGATCACAGAGTTGGCAACTGGTGAAAATAAATTTGAACCAGTATCTGTGCGACTCCAAAATCTACTGTTTCAACTGCTATAATGTACTACTCTGGAAGTTATTATTTTATCCGATGGCATAATTACTACCCTAGAAGCTCCTACTGTAAGAAGGATCAAGAGAAAGAGAACAACCTTTCCACAGAGGGACTACACTTGTATTTTTGTTTTCTCAAAATAAGCATCTTGCAATGCCTTGAGAGTTGAGATTTCTAATATCATTTAGGCCAATAAAGGATCTCATATGGTTTACGAAAGGCCCAGTTATTTCCTTCTAGTCCCCTACCTCCTAAATGCTCTTTTAAAGTGTCCTTGGGGGCTGCTTGCTAAGGTGCCCAAAATGGAGTCTGAACTCAGCTTTGAGTCCTGTTAGCTTCTTGAGTATTCCTGGGTTAGCTTTTCCTCACTATGTGGAGAATTCCTACCATTTCTGGCTGCTATTTCGCTCCTGTCAATCCAATGTGACAAAATCGGGACTAAGTCTGGTCTTCCACACCAGCACAGCCCTTTAAGTTCCCCAACAGTTTGCTTTTTTTAATGTCAGATTTATAATTCTCTTGAATTTCTAGTCACATCTCCCTCCATCCATCCCCACCCCCAACATCTGCAGAACATCGGTGGCAAAACAAAACAAATCCAGTCCCAACAAATTGCTGATTTTCCTCTAGTAGATAAATATTTTTTTCCCCTCCATAACTGACGGTTGGGACAAAAGATAATCTCCATGATTTACACTGGAAGGAAATATCCTTTGGTGACTCAGATTTAAAGAGGTCTGTACATGCTTAGTTCTGTTTGGAGATCAGTATTTAATTTAGAAATGTCTTGAGAGCGGAGATTTCTAATATCTTTTAGGCTAATAAAGTGAGGATCTCATATGGATTAAGAAAGGCCCAGTTACAGTATCTCTTTTCAGTTCATTTGATGCATGAAAAGCTGTTCCATTTGCATTAAAAGCTGAAAAGTTTCCTGGCTGCAAGGAAAAAAAAAAGCCTGCAAGGTATAGGAGGACATTAGCTGCCTGAAGGTTTACAACACTCAAGTGCAATTTGGGGAGGACAAAAAAGCAGCAAGATGAGGCTTTCCTTTTATGGAGGGAAGAAGGCTTAGGTTCTAACTTGGCAGAGCTGATGTGTTCAGAAAAAGAAGGCTCCCTCGGTTTAAATCCAAATTTCTAAATCTCTCTTGAGAGATGAAGGCGCTCCCTGTGTGCCTTTCACAATCAAACTGTTGGTTATAGCCTCTCCCCTCCATGGCTTTGAAAACCTCTCCTATTCACATGGTCACAACGAGACAGCCCTGGGGCGGGGATGGCAATCGCTTACTGGGCTCTGTGCTGGCTGGGTTCCGCTGGGCGGAAGGGCTGCCCTGGGATTCACAAATGCCCACCACTTGGCTGAACAACAGTCCAATGCAGTGTCCCTGTCCCCAAATAGCCTCTTACTACATTAATTGCATCATTGATGCATTAAAAAAATTAAGTGGCGTTTTTATTCTCAAGCAACTATTTGAAGGAGCTAAGACCAGGCTTTGTGACTATAACCGATAACACTGCTTTCATTTTACTTTACAGTTGTGTTCTCTCTGAGCAATGAGAGTCATAGCTAGCGTGTTTGTAAACAGTTATGCTCTATATTTTTAGTGGATCATTTGCAAGAAAAGAACTTAACAAGATTGCTTCCCTCAAAAAGTCTTAAAAGGAAAAGGCTTGTTCTAATGGGAATGGTTTTCAATATTTGGTTAGTCCCCAAAACATTGGTAGCCTTTGGAATAGGAATAGTTGAAACACTTGTGAGTTTGATTTGGTTAAAACAAAATAAAACACAAAAAACCTCACAGGATTACATTTCAACAAAGAGTTAATAAATAGCCACTGAATTAATTTGCCTTGTCCTGCTAACACCTGCAGCCAGAGCCCCATGTTCATGATGCAAAGAGACAAATGCATTTGACTAGAGTGCACACACCTGCACACCTTCCTAACCTGTATGGAGCACATCCAGGTGCTGGCTGACAAAAGCCCTCGGCCTAATAACCCCCGGACATCTGCCTTGGGTTTAAGCGGCAGGGACCCAGGAAACTCCCACTCCTGTGTGCCGATTTCACATTATCCTGCTGAAGGCAGACAGGGAACAATGCCTTGTGTGTGTGATCCCTGACAGACAGGACAGATGTACAAATGACTGTGAGAGCCAGGATAACTGACATCACGAATCTTGAGGAGTCCCAGCCTGGATGTGAGGAGGCTGCTGGGGGCACTGACCTGGAAAATGAGGACTTTGAAATGGTTGCGTCTGAGGAGCTGGGCGTGATTGTTTTCTAGCCGCTTCACCTGCGCGGTCTGCCGCTCCATGCGCTCCTTGACCGCCCGGGTGTGGGCGCTGACCTTGCGGGACTTCTCCAGCAGCTTGCTGACCGTGTTGCTGGTGGAGGCCTGGTACTTGGAGAGCTTGGTGAGGTCGTTCTGGATGCCCTTCACGGAACCCTCCAGGCTTATCTGTCGTTGTTCCATCTTGTGCTGATTCTCCTGCACGGCGTCCAGCATGTTCACCAACTTGTCCAGGAGCGTGAGCACAGTGACGGCGTTCACCTGCGAGTTATCTCGGATGGTTTCCTCGGTGCTCCCCAGGTTCAGGCTGGGGCTCGGTGTGGAGGAGGGCACTGGGCTGGCGCTTGATGGTTTCTCCTGCCTTCTGTCAACACCAAGATGCTGTAACTTTTCTGCTCGTGCAGCGTCCTCTCCCATGACTGGACAGTGGACACGTTCTTCGAGGCTGGGAGCGTCTTCTTGCGCAGGTGAGAAGGGCCCTGATGAGGTGGCAGAGCGAGGCCCGCTGGTGGAGCTTAGAGCACTACTCTCTAGGACCCGCAGAGGTTCAGACAAGCAACGACTGGCTACACTGATCAGGGGAACTGCATTCCAGCTGCTCTTAAAGGTCCTACTCCACCCAGTGGGAGGCGAAGGTTACAGAACCGAGAACCACTCAGAGTTCAGAAGCATTGCAAACACTTCCTAACTGTTCTCCTTGGCACAGGACACTTTGCTGTAGGTTTAGCTTTTCTTTCCTACCCCCTCTTCCCTTTTTAAAACAAGTTCAATGCCGTATTTCAATCATGACTTCATCTAGAGGCAGAGAAAAACATGCTAACTTGGCCCAGCTCCACAGTCTGCAATTGGCTAGAGCTAGTAAACTTTTCACTGGCTGCTATGCTACAGAGTGCCTGTTTTTTTTTTCTTTCCTGGATACAAGTTATAGTAACGGAAAGTATTGTTTGCATTTGCCCTAGAAATGACTGATGGGCTGCAGAATGCGGTGTCCTAGAGGGTGGCGGGAGCAGAGTTTAAAGGGTACTTGGCAGCCAAGTGTGTATTAGGTTCCCATTTCCAAAGGAATGGAAGGAACCCTGATAATGGAAAGGAAACAAACCCTGTTCTTACTACCGTTTCAATTAGGGATGCAAGATCAGGTGAAATAGGCCGAACTTCAGGGATATGTTAAAACAAGCAATGCTGCTGTTATGAACTGTTATGTAATAGATGGGATAGTTTTGAATGACCTTTTTTAAAAATGTAGTTTCTTTTGAGAAGTCAGTAAGATTGGACAAGGAAAAACTAAAAAAAAATAAAATAAAAATAAAGTTTTGTCCCTTTAAGCACCTACTATGCTAATTTGTTTGAGCTAATCTTGAATTAGTGCTGAGAGATTTTCTCAAATGTCCACCTCTGCAAGGCAATTATTGACACGTGCCCAGAAGTGTGCCTGTCAGGCAGGTTGAGTTGGAGTTTCTGAAGTGCTTCTAATGTTTGACATTTCCAAATTCCTGTTCAGTGAAGTGGCACACCTGTTTCTAAAACGTGGCCCTCCTCAGCCAAGCCCTTGGGATGTGGGGCTTATTTCCTAAAACGACTTTACATGCTTGAGTTGGTTTTAAATGTATCAAGCCTTTAAAAGTGCTTTCAGCAGGAAGTTTGTAATAGGTCTTCTATGAACAGTTTTGAGAAGAACAAATGCCAGCTCGTATTGGATCAGGACTTGATAATGGAAAAGTGCTGACCTTCAATGGCAAAATTACTCTACACATGAGCCAATCAATCAGCAGGCCATCGCTGTCCCATTTATTGAATTTGTGAGTCCCCACTATCTGCTCAGTTCTATCTCGGTGCACTATCCAGAAGATACTGAGAAGGGTGAGTATATTTCAGTGAGTATACTTGCTAATTAGGGAGATGAATAAAAGATATTTACAGAAGGCCCCCAATTCCTCAGATACTCGGTGTTCCCCAAAACCACTTAAAGTGAGTCCTTTAAGAATAGGGACCAAAGACAGTGAAAAGAAGATTTGTTTGGGATTTTACCTTAAAAATGTAAGAAAATTATTAAAATTAATTTACCTTATATTTCACAAAGACTAGTCAACTATGTGTTAAATATTAGAACAAATGATGAATTGTTAATATTGAGAAGTGTAATTTTCTGACAAAACTATACAGTATCATGATTCCATATCCCTTTATATTTGACTTCCATGGGCAAATCGTAAAGAGGGTCATTACTGCCAAAATAGTTGAGAGGTTCATCAGTTTTCCAAGAGCCTCTCTGGTATTTTGACATTCAAATCATTCCCTTTTGAAGCACTTGTTGTGCCATCATCCCTGGGGATTTTCTCTTTTTCAAATGTTAACTCTTCCAGCTGCAGATCCTCATTTGTCAGAGGAGCTGCCCATGATTTGAGGCCTTTTTTAGCACTACTTTCATCCTTCATCAACTTCACGATTTCCTACATATTCTTTAAGATTTACAATTTCACATTATAATCACTTCACACTGATTTTTGCATTGATTTGCACTGATTTTGCATCCCAATTTTGTGCAATCAACTGAATGAATGAAGACATGAAAGAGATGGGGGTAAGGTGAGGAAAGGAGAGAGGCTAGTGGTTAAACAGGAAGAAAGGTTTGCATGTGGACTTATTTTTTAAAATTAATTTTGAGTAATACATGTAATATATCAGTTATCTAGTGCTGTGTAACAAATCAGCCCTAAAACTTTGTGGCTTTGAACAACCATTTATTCATGATTCTGTGGGTTGGCTAAGCAGGGCTTAGCTGAAATGTGTCATCTCTGCTGGGCATACTTATTCAGCTGTAATTTGGGCTGAGGAACCTAAGATGGTCTTATTCACACGTCTGGCTCTTCAAATGGCATGTCTGGAATGCTGGTGCCTCTCTCTCCTCCTAGCCTTTCAGCCCCCAAGGACTCTCCATGTCTTCTCTCTAGTAGGGGAGCCAAACTACTTTACATGGTGCCTTATGGCTCTGAGGCTGTGAAAGCAGAAGCTGCAAAGTCTCTTCAGGCTAGGCTCTGGAACTCTCCCCACATCACCTTCACCACATTCTATCGGTCAAAGCAGGTCACAGAGTGAGCTTAGATTCAAGAGAAAGGGAAATATTCTCCACCTCTTGATAGGAGGAGTGTCAAAGCCCCATAGCAAAAGAGTAAGCATCATGGGAGAGATTGTCGTGGCCATCTCTGGAAACCATCTACCACACAATGAATAAATCTCCTTCTCAAAGAATATTGCTGATAAAGCTGAAGTCCCTTCTGATCACTGTTCCCATTCCATTTCCTTTTCCTTCTTCTCGGAGGTAAGTGCTTTTGTGAATTATCCCCAGTATCCTTTGGGGATTATATCTATCAAAACCCGTTGCCGTTGAGTTGATCTCTACTCATAGTGACCCTATAGGACAGAGTAGAACTGCCCTGTAGGGTTTGCAAGAAGCGGCTGGTGAATTTCAACCGCCGACTTTTTGATTAGCAGCTGAGCTCTTAACCATTGAGCTACGAGGGCTCCTAGGGGATTATATTTATATGTGATCAATTCATTAGTGAATAGTTTCATGTTGTGCTACAGTTTGCTTCATTGTGCAACTTTGTAATTGTGTGAACTTGGATAACGAGCAGTTATATGATAGGAACCTTCCTGTCCTGTAACAGATGACATTTAACTAAGTAATAGACTGCGAAACAAATGTTAAGGACAGCAAGAGTTTACAGGAAGGAAAAGCAAAGACAGTAAGGGAAAGCAGTATTAATGAGGTAGAATTTGAGGTAACCCTGGGCTTCCACTTGGTAAAGTAGAGGGTCAGTGAAAAAGAGGAAGGCCCTCAACGAGATGAATTGACACAGTGGCTGCAACAATGGGCTCAAGCACAGCAACAATTGTGAGGATGGTGCAGGATCGGGCAGTGTTTCGTTCTTTTGTTCATAGGGTCGCTCTGAGTCAGAACAGACTGGATGGCACCTAACAACAACAACAATGACCTAAGCTTCCAAACTCATCATTTAGTTGCCTTCTAATTAAGTCCATTCTCTGTATGAAAGAAATTAGTGAAATTCACCAGTAGGCTCTTAAAATACTTTTTAAAAAAAATTAAATATTCCTATCACATTTTATGATGGTCATTGGAAGTTAGGAGGTTGGAGTTCAGACTTGATACAAAGGCAGATAAGAGGCCACGGGAGATTTTTGAATATGTGTAAGTGGTCTGTATAAGAAGGATTGTTATTGTTGGGTGCTGTTGAGTCAGACCCGACTCATGACAACCCTATGACAGGGTATGTCATGGATTGAATTGTGTCCCCCCAAAAATGTGGGTAGCAGCTTGGCTGGGTCGTGATTCCCAGTATTGTATGATTGTGTTATCTGATGTGATTTCCTTGTGTGTTGTAAACTCTACCACTATGATGAGATTATATCTGATCTCGTATTATAAATTCTATCACTGTGATGAGGTTGTACTGATGAGGTTGACAAGATTAGTGTCTTAATGCAATCTCTTTTGAGATATAAAAGAGAGAAGTGAGCAGAGACACATGGGAACCTCGTACCACCAAGAAAGCAGTGCTGGGAGCAGAGCGCATCCTTTGGACCTGAGGTTCCTGCGCAGAGAAGCTCCCAGACCAAAGGAAGATTGATGACACAGACCTTCCTCCAGAGCCAACGGAGAAGACGTTCCCCTGGAGCTGATGCCCTGAATTTGGATTTGTAGCCTCCTGGACTGTGAGAGAATGAATTTCTCTTTGTAAAGCCATCCACTTGTGGTATTTCTGTTGGAGCAGCACTGATGACTAAGACAGGGTAGAACTGCCCCATAGGGTTTCCTAGGCTATAATCTTTATGGAGGCAGATTGCCAGGTCTTTTCTCCCATGGAGAGGCTGGTGAGTTCAAACTACCAACCTTTTGGTCAGCAGCCTAGCACATAACTGATGCACCACCAGGGCTCCTTATAAGAACAGTTAGTGCAGCAATAAAATGTAGGAGGGAACCACTTGGTTGGTAACATTTGTTGATTTTGAAATAAGTGCTAGGCACTAGGGATACAAAGATCCATGACATATTTGCTATGCTTTAAAAGCTCCCATGTTAGTGGGAAAACTAGAGAGGTAGATAAATATTGCATTGAGATACACAAGTGTGTTCCATAGACAGAAAATGATTCTCTCTGCAAGGGTGACAGAAAAATGAGGACTTTGGTCACAACAGGGTATGATTAGGGCTCTGAATCCTCTAACTGTCCACCAGCTACCTACTGCCACCTCAAGTCTCTTAAGTCATAAAAGCATAGAGGACATTCCAGAAAAATGCCTCCTTTTTTTTTTTTTTTTCCCCTAGCTAGGGCTTTGGTTCTAATCTCTATGTGTTTTCCCACTTTGAATCATTCATAAATTGCAAAACTTTGTTA